TAACCTCTAGGGGAACTAGTGATAGTGTGTCAGGGATGACCTAGTAGGGGGTAAACCTCACTAGTGTGCGGTGAACAAGGAAGGGATCCTCAAAGCAGCAAGCCCTGAGGGTCTCCAGAGACTAGTGTTCACCGACAGCAGTGCCTTACCTTTAATCTGAGCAGTATTCTAGACATGGGGTGTTTTCTACGCAGTTTTAAGTAGCCAAGTAGCCAGGGTGTTACTTTTGTTTCACAGCCTAGCAATAGCGAGCACGCCTTGGAGTGGACGTTTATTACCAGGTTATTGAACTATTAGACATAATGCAACATCATTTCCATTTGGTATGAACCTATTATTCACTGGCTACTCTGTCAATGCTGCATCAAGTTGATACATAGTCACCTTTCAGCTTCTCCTGAATGATACACTGTATTTATATACAATAGCTTCCAAGGTTATTATTATATAGTCATTTCTTTTTGTAATCGGTGGGTGCTTATAGGTTCCAACAGTTCACTTTCTGGATCTATCAAGTGTTAGGTTCTTGAGCTAAGAAAACTATAACTTAGTGCTCAGATTTTGTTATTACTCTTTTCTGATTTGATTAAGAGTCAGCCTTTTTTGAGCTACATCAATTATAACACATTTTAGCTCTCCTATCTTGAGCTACAGACACTGGCATAGGAGATGCCCTCATAACATTTGGCAAGTTGAGATAAGCCAGTTGGGCTCCCCCTATTCATAGGACTGGTCTTATGTGCCTTTCCAGCCTATCTTCACTTTTCATTTAGTTTATATACTATCTTTTCTTTTTCCTTCGGTTGTATATTTGTCTCTCACAAGTCTCTAAATTTTTTAACTTATAGATTAATAAAGGTTATATTTTAAAATATCATTACAAGGTCTCTAGGGACGTCCTATACCCGGACCCTCAGGGCTTGCTGCTCTGAGGATCCCTTCCTTGTTTACTATGGAGATAAAGCTAGTAAACACTAGGCTAGAACTTTAACAGATAAATTGGCTCAGAATTATCCCCAAAAATATTAAAAAGGAAATACAGTATTTAATTTAACTGAACAAATTGTAGAAGTATTTGCTCAATATTATGATTATCTATTTTATTTAGAAGACAAAAAAAAACCTAATAGAAACATATAAGTAAAAACCTTAACCTTTACCTCGAGGAGCACCTTAATGTTAAATTGGAGAATGATCTAGCTAATAAATGAAATCTACCTATAAGTCATGAATGTCATATAAAATCCCCCAATGTAAAAAGTCCAGGTCCAGATGGACCAACAATCGTCTTTTATAAAATCTTTATATATGTTCTAGGTTCAAACCTGGTCAAGTTATTTAATTCTTTCACTTGAAGATGTTAATCTGTCAGCACACTCACATGAAGCTTATTTAATTGTTATACCCAAACCGGGAAAAGATGAAGAGCAATACTCTAGCTACAAACCAAAATCATCACTCAACTACAATATGAAGATCTTTGCAAACATTTTAAGTGAGAAAATCAAAGTAATTTTACCTTTTTGGAACAGACTCAGGTGGGTTTTCTTCTGATCAGGGAGGCAAGGGATGCGACAACAAAAACCCTAAGTTTGATATTTGAGGCTAAGAGGGAGGACATCCCTGCTTTGATTTTGTCAACTGATGTCGAGAAAGCATTTGACAGGGTGAATAGGTCCTTCTTATTTGATGTACTGGTCATATGGGTTTTAACCCAATTATAATTAAATGGATAAAAGCCCTATATCATACACCAACCTCCGGGATTAGTATAAATGTCCTTTTTTCAAGACCAATTCCCCTGTTGAATGGAACACGTCAGGGATGTCCTCTTTCTCTGATATTATTTGCCTTGGTGATAAAACCCCTCGTGTGTGCTATACATGATAACACAATAATGATTTGGTAGTAGGAAAAAAAAACAATACAACATTTCAGCTTTCACAGATGAATTATTACTTTTTGTGACCAATTCTCAAATTTCTCTACAAAATATAATGACAGTTATTAGTATTTGTCAAAATATTTAACTTCAAAATAAGTCAAATCCAAATCTGAGGTTCTTAATATTTTAATATCTGAGAATATAGCTAAGACATTACAAGACAGTTTCCTGTTTAGATGGGTAAGGGACACACTTAAATATTTGGGTATCTAATTGATAATATACAAAGATTGCATTTATTTAATTACCTTAAGATCACAGAGTAGATAAAGTTAGATATTAAAAATGGACTAAATTGAATATTTCATGGTTTTGTAAAGTTAATGTTACCAAAATGAATATTACACAGATAATTGTATATATTATGAAAACCCTACCAATTGATGGCCCTAAAAGTTTTTGTATGTTATGTAAGGGAATAATTAGGAAATTTATATGGAAAGGTAAAATATCTCTATTAGAATACTCCTACCTAACTAAACAGAAAAACAGAGTGGGACAAGGGCTCTCTGATATAGAAAAATATTTAAAATATGCACATAATAACTTGGGATAATTTGAGTAAAGTCTGGTTAGAACTAGGACAGAAGGCATTTAATTTTCATTTAATGTTGACCCTGTGGTTATGTAGCATACATACCGTATTAAAAAGACATGAAACATCCTACTGCAGAATGTACATGTAAAATAATAAAATAACTAGACAGGAAAGGAGAGATAATATATAAATATTCCCTAATGACCCCTTTAACCTTTAATGAGAAGTTCCCCCCAGGAATGGAAAAAGGCAATGTGGAGAAAATATTTCCCCAGTAGTGTCTGTTCCCTGGACTGGGGCATTTTATAATTGACTACAATAACGAAACAATAAATGTTGGACAATATTTATGTTAAATCCCATATTATTCATTACATTGCTACCTTTAAAAAAAGAGGCCAGCTTATAAAGTCTTTATCATCCTTTGAAAAATTATGTTGGTCACAAGAAGCTCAGACTGGATTGATTTAAAAAAAAATATCAAATAAGAACAGATAAGGAATTATATAGAAAAACTTTATTATATTAAAAATGGAAATCTAACTGTAACATACATTTTACAGATGAACAATGGAATAAGATTGTTATACTAGCACATACATGTTTATTATCAACAAAAATCAAAGATAATTCATTTAAGGTTTTGAGGCGATGGTATAGAGTCTCACACACTATACACAAATTGCGACACGACATCCCATATAGATGATGGCGTTGTCCAAACAATATAGTCTACATATATAATCTACATATGGTGGTCATGGCCACTTATAATCTCTTTTTGGCCAATATTGTTAATATAATTCAATTTCTAGGAGATTTGGATTTGGAGATGAATCCCACATATATATTAATTCACAATACAAAATATTCAGTCAAAACCTATAGAAATGCTCTTGCAGTCAGGTTGATTAATGCAGCAAATTTTAATCCCAAAATATTGGAGACAAGCAAACGCTCCTTTAATTGATAAAGGGTTTGATGTTGTGGATGAGATTTATGAGTTGGAATAAATAATAAATGTAAGGAATGGTAAAAGTCTAGAACATAATAAAATATCTAAATATAAAGAGAATTGGGATAAGGGAAATCATTTGTATCCCAGAATTAATATCAAATTAATCAAATAATGGTGGTAGGTTGTAAAGAGAAGAGATATTTTGTTGGAGAACTTCCTGTTTCTTACTCTACTATTAATCTAGATTGTAAGTTCCATTGGAAAAAAGACCCTCAACTATTTGTCAAACTTTGTATTGTCTGTTAGATGAATTATACATTTATACTTTTAAATTGTACCAATTTGTACTCATGGACAGTGCTACGGAATGTGTTGAAACGTTATAAATGATATATAATAATAATAATAAAAAATAATAATTACTTTCACTAGTTGCTGTACTGAAAATCAAATTAAAGTAAATAGACTTAATCTCACAACCGCTCACCTTGATACTGATTGTGAAAAAAATAAATCACAGGCACAACCAGTTACTTCCCTGCCTATACAGCAAAAAAAAAAAAAATATTGGATACTCTCTCTGACTGATTGTGCAGAAAGAAAACTGGAGTACAACTACATTTCTAGGCATACAATAGAGTAGAAAGGGCAAAGTTACTAGACTGCTACGTCACTTGTAGCGTACGTGCTGTAACACTAGAATTTTACATTAAATCATTCCAGTCAAGTTTCGAACATTTAAAAAGACCTAAGAGCTAGAATATACATTTTCTACTAGTCTATGAAGATGTTTCATCTTAGATTGAATCTTCCTAACATACAAATCTAGCTCTTTGGTACAAAAGCCCTCAGGACATTAACTCTAACATCAAGGACTCTTGTTTATCAACCAAATAAATTTAATACATTTTAAATCAAAATTAAAAAATAAATAAAAATAAAATAAAGCACTTGCATCACTAAACGCTCACTGTGCACAATAATTTGTCACAAACACCAATGCACACAGCACAGAAGTAAATCCAGAAAAAAATCAAATGTCTCAAAATAAAATTACAATAAATAAGGTTGTTGTGTAATGGGGCTGGGCTCATCAGGTTCACACAGACTCAATATGTTAAAAGTACAATGGGCAGGGAAATGCTTCAAGTGGTGCACAGGACCAGGATGGCAATCCAGCCAGTTGTAAACAAAAATAAAAAGAGATGTGCACAATTTCCCAAAACAGTAATTTTATTCGGAACTCTCCAGCAATGTTTCAATAACGGCTTTTAACAAGAAATGATAAAAGCCTCTACGAGCTGAAATGCTTCCGGATGATTCAGAATAAAATTACTGTTTTGGGAATTTGTGTGTGCACAGAATCAATGACAGATGATATCACAGTCAAGGAAGTCAGTCAGTCACACAGTGTCACACAGCATTTCGCTCTTTAGCAGCTCTAGTTAAAGTTTGGAGAAAAACCCTGCTTTGGATTTATATAGAATTTGCACATGTACCCTTTTATCTCAAATGAGAATGCAGCCTAAATCAATGAATATTGTTTGTAAGTAAACATACTCAAAATAAAATAAAAAAATCCTCAAGCCCCTTGTACATCAAGGCACATGAAGGGCACACGATTCAGCTCCTTCCCTCTTTTCCATCCTTTTTTGCATTTTTGATTTGGTCATTTGGCAATTTGGTCCATTATATGGGTGAACCACTAAATCAACGCAATTTCATACAAATCACAGTTTGTCTGAATATGAAGTATAGTTATAAAAGGCAGATTATACTATAGTGACTTAATTTAATTCAAGACTATATCAGGAGAATTAAAGTGTGTTTTTGCTGTTGACATCAACATGGATTTCAGTATAGTATTTGGTACAGTTTCCCTTCAAATCAATGGTTTAGAACAGGCTTCCCCAAACTCCGGCCCGCCAGATGTTGCTGAACTACAACTCCCATGATTCTATGAATGACATAGATATGCTGAGAATCATGGGAGTTGTAGTTCAGCAACATCTGGAGGGCCAGAGTTTGGGGAAGCCTGGTTTAGAATAAAACATTTACACTTTGACTGAAAAGGGTCATACTGTGCTGAGAATAGTTAATGCTAATGAAAACTTTTTAAATTGGAAAGAAGTGGAGAATCTCAAGGTTCCTGAGTTATTTTTTTTTCATTGATCCTGAAACAGGCAAGATACATTTAAGTTACATTATACATATAAATATTTATATACAACTATGTAAGGCCCAGTCAGAGTAGGATATTACTTTCTAACAGAGTGATTTAAATAAATTAGGAGGTTGAGCAGGGATGAAGCCGATTAAATATTTGATTTGTCAAAACACATTTGGGATGAACTAGAAACATTCAACAATAGATGTGCTCACAGGGTGTGCCCATGCACACTCTAATGCAGCTGGAGTGCTGGCTGATCAAGCTGATAGTGAGAACATAGAGAGAACATAGCCACCCCGTCCAAAGCCCTGGATTAAACATGCTCTGTTTGAAATTGTGTTTCGCTGTGATTGGTACCTGCAGAAATAAAGGGTGAAGTCTGAAACACAATGTACGTCTGTGCTCATTTAAATGTCACAAATTTTAAAATAGTTGCGAAATTACAATTTCTCCAAATTTTTATGCCAAGGCACGCACTCAACACTCCCTTCTACAAAAACACATGATCCACTCACCGCAGTACACATCATTCACAGCTACTCACACATAGCAATGCTATCACTCACTGCTACCCCCATTCAGTAACATCACTCACAGCTACCTGTACTCTTACTGCTCTCTACACCCACAAGAAAATATCAGAGTCAGCTACCCACACACACCCACACACACATCACTCACAACTACCCACACACATCACTCACATCTATCCATACACAGTCACACTTAGGGTGTTGCTAAGTGGGGCTTTTGGGTTAGAGCTCCGAGTGGGGTCCTAAAAAGCATTGGCTCTAATTTTGGTACCATTTCAGTGCTAATTCTGAGTACCCTGTAATTTTTATGAAAGAAAGAACACCTCCAATTTCATAAAATTAGACAGTGCCACTTTAATGCTAATTTAGAGTACATTTACATTGCAGTATTGGGTATTGCTGTAGGTGCATGGTTTTAATGTACTGGTATGAAGAGTTGGAGTTAGCTTGGGATTAATGAAGCATGTGTGGAGTTTAGAAATACAGGTTCATGTAACACTCTGAGTTTTGTAACTATGTGATTTTTCACTAGATATTTATTTATTTTGAGCTACAAAGGTAGTAGACACACAATAAATCAAGCCTACAATAGTGAACTACACCAGCATACATTTTATATATGGCACAACCACCATCAGCAATAGCATGGCGTCTCTTCTTATCTACCTGCCATAGCCTTCTACAATGCTTGACCCTGCAAGTGTCAATGGAAAGTAAAAGAGGCCAATTTCCAACAAGTGTTTCAGCACCAGCCATGTTAACCTATTGTCTATGCTGATTTGCTGTCACTTGCAGTGGCAAACGCTTGGGATCAAGAGGGATTTGCAGATTCAGCTGGAGAGCTCAATACAATTAAAATTAAAAAGAAAAAAAAACAGACATTAGTATATACAATCCCTAAGATAAAACACCACCCTGCTGCTTAGATATATTATTGTACTTTACATAAAAAATAAAAAGTGAGTCAATAGTGGAATAACAAAGCAAGAGTAACATTTCCCCAGAGCCATTCGGCATGATATGAAAAAAATGTAACTAGCAGCCAGTCCAGGAAGGGTTAAGAGGTGTTCCAATTTATATGAAAAATCCATTTATTTTAGTGTATTACAACATTCTTCGAGCATGTTGGACGTCTATGATGCTGTGTTTTGAAAATCACATGCATTTATTTCTCTTATTGTCTTACATAGACAAGCTTTTTTTAAAGGATTTTATTTTTTAGTTAAAATAAAGTTATGGACCGATGGCAAGTCAGTATTCTACAGAATTATTAATAATTAATTAAAAAGTATCTTTAACAAAAACATGTACATTTTATGTGGTAGAATGCTTACCCAAAACAAGTGTAACGCATAGGGTTTGTTTGAAAATTATACTTTGGCAGAACTGGAAAGTCATATAAAAGCATTACTGCTCCCAAGATAAAATCGCCATCTATAAAAAATCCCTCCAAGGATGCAGAGTTCAGTACACAGCTGCTATTTGGTTTTATTGTACTGTCCCCTGCTGCATCATGAAAATGATGAAAATATGATATAGATAGCAACAATACTATATAAACCATGGTGTTATACTGAATTATAAGACTGGAGAATTCCAGCAATTATTTCTTCTTATAAAATGCCTTTAGGAGGTTAGTCTTATTCAGAAATCTGTAAACATCACAGAAATGTGGATAAAGCATTTAGGCTTCTTGCAAAACAGCTTTAGCAGATGTAAGACTTTATAATTAACTTAGAAACCTCAGTTATGTTTTAATTTAAAGTTCTTCTGGTAATTTTTTTAATATGTCTAGTCGTTCTCCGTCTCTCTCTGTAAGTATATACAAATGAATGCAACTCTCTGCAGGCCAATTGTAAATAAAATTACTGGGTTAGCAGACGTAATAATAGGTTAGTTCTATCAACCTAAAAATTCTCTAAAGGGAGATCAGTGGAAGGAATTTAAATGACAGGACAGCCTTGACAGATGGTGCCTTGTTTAGATTGCTTACATATAAATACAAATTTCTAAAATATGCCACTAAATACAATTGACCTTTATAATATTAACTTTTGTTTTCTAAAAGAATATGTTACTTTGTGTAGTCATATTTGCTTTTATAATTAAATACACCATTTTGTCAATAAATCCTAGTATTATATATTATATATTATAACAATATACAAAAAAAAGGGTTATTTTTCATTGTTTTGGCAATAATAACGTGTGCGCAATTAGTGCAGCTTAAGAAAAGTAAATAAAAAAAATGAATTGATTTGGTTTTATTTACAATATGCATAATATGTCGAGGATTTTGGTTTATTTACTGTAGTTACTGTTTACAACATACAAGTAGTAAAATAAATGAAGAGTGATTTTAGAATTTGGTATGTTTGTCTTGTAAGGGTAATAGACATCACACAGAAAGAGTGTCCCGTTAACCCCTTCCTGACCGAAGACGGAGATTTTCCGTCAAGCTTGTCCGAGCGTTAAGGACCGTTGACGGAAAGTCCCCGTCATTTACTAACGTTAACGCCAGATCGCGGCGATCGTGGGGTTAACGCTGTTGCTGGGTGCCTTGATGTCAGAGGCAGACCAGCAACCGCCAATAGAGCTGTCCCAGCACATGTGATCGCTGTGACAGCCAGTCACAGCGATCACACTGCTGCTGGGATTCCTGATCCTCCTCCCTCCACCTATGTGTGGTTTGAGAAGTGGAGAGAGACGGATAGGTGCTGAAACATTGTGTGTCAATTTAGTATAAAGTGTATCTGTGTTTTAAAAGTAATTTTAATACTTCTAAAACAGTGTTAACCCTTTCCTTGCCCTTTTGATCAGTGCCTGAAGTGATCAGTATACTGATCACAGTATGTAGCTGTGCTCTAATTTTTTTTGTACCCTCAAGGGTTAATTTAGATTTTTTTTTAACCCTTAGGGGTTAATTTTATTTAATTTGTTATTTAATTAATTTAACATTAATTCCTTAATTAGCTGGAGTGGGTGGACTTTAGTGGGAATTTGGGAAATTGAGTGGTAGGTAGTGATGTCCCGAATGGTTCGCCACGGACGGCAAACATATGCGCTGTTCGGTTCGCCCCCTATTCGTCATCATTGAGTAAACTTTGACCCTGTACCTCACAGTCAGCAGACACATTCCAGCCAATCAGCAGCAGACCCTCCCTTCAAGACCCTCCCACCTCCTGGACAGCATCCATTTTACATTCATTGTGAAGCTGCATTCTTAGTGAGCTGTCCAGGAGGTGGGAGGGTCTGGGAGGGAGGGTCTCCTGCTGATTGGCTGGAATGTGTCTGCTGACTGTGAGGTACAGGGTCAAAGTTTACTCAATGATGACGAATAGGGGGCGGACCGAACAGCGCATATGTTCGCAGTCCGTGGCGAACCGTTCGACGAACCATTCGGGACATCACTGGTGGTAGGCTAGTTAGAGATGAAAAGTTTAGAAAAGTTCTGAAAAGTTTTTAAAAGTTTAAAAAAAAACTATAAAAAAAGAAAAAAGGATAAGAAAAGAAAAAAGTTTTAAATTTTTTTTTTTAAAACAGTTTAAAAAAAAGTTTGTTAAAGTTACACCTTCATAATGTCTGGAAGGTACACTGCTGAGGAGGCTTATGGTATACTAGCAGCCAACTCTGACGCCACAGACACTGCCTCTGAGAGTGGTGATGAGACTGTGCCAGATACTGCAGGCCCCTCTGTTGTAAGCGCCGAGTCCCCTGACCTGGCTCATGACGCTGGTGACTGGGAACCCCTAAATGATTTTACGCCAGATATCCCAGTGTTTACTGGCAGTCCTGGAATTCAGTTGGACGTCACTAACTACAGAGCACTGGATTTCATGCAGCTATTCTTGGGGGATGATATTTTAGGGGATATAGTCACCCAGACCAACCTTTATGCTGTGCAGTACCTGACACTTAATGATCAGAGTCTCATCGCCAGGCAAGGGAGTTGGTACCCCACCAGTGTGTCAGAATTAAAAAAATTTGGGCACTAACAATGCTAATGGGCATTATTAAAAAACCCAGCATCAGGATGTACTGGTCCAAAAATCCTGTATGCAACACCCCTATTTACTCCCAGACCATGAACAGGTCCAGATATGAAGCAATGCTTTGCTTTTTACACTTCAACGACAATTTGAAGTGCCCCCTAAGAGATAATCCTCAATATGATAATGTCTATAAGATTCGCCCCCTTATTTCCCACTTCAACAGACAGTTTGGCTCAATGTACACCCCACAAAATAATATTTGTGTAGATGAGTCTCTAATGAAATACAAGGGCAGACTGGGGTTTAAACAATATATGCCGGCCAAAAGATCCCGGTATGGGATAAAGTTGTATAAACGTTGTGAAAGTGCCAGTGGTTATGTTTACACCTTCTGTGTTTACAAAGGTAAAGACAGCCACTTGGATCCCCCAGGTTGCCTGGATATCATTGGGACGAGTGGAAAAATCGTATGGGATTTAATTAACCAATTGCTAAATAAGGGGTATCATTTATTCATAGACAATTACTATAATAGCATCCCTCTTCTTAGGATGCTTTATTGCTTTGAAACTGTGGCCTGAGGCACTATCCGAAAGACACGTGTCGGTTTTCCAAAAGCCCTGGCACAAAAAAAGCTCAAGAGGGGGGAAACGGCTGCTCTCTGCCAGGACGAACTGCTGGCTCTCAAATTCAAAGATAAGAAGGAAGTGTTCATGCTAACATCTATGCATACTGAGCACACTCGAAGAGTCGCAGTTCGTGGCAGACAAGAAATTAGATGAGTGCCAGTCTGCATTAGGCAGTATAACAAGCACATGGGGGGAGTTGACCTGTCCGACCAACTGCTGCAACCCTATTTAATACTGAGGAAGACCAGGGCATGGTACAAAAAGCTTGGCATTTACCTTATGCAAATGGCGACTCACAATGCCTTAGTTCTGTACAAAAAGGCAAATGCTGACATTAAATCCACATTTCTGGATTTCCAGTTTCAGCTTATTTCTGGGCTGCTCACTGAGGAACCATCAGCTGGGCCTAGCAGCAGAAGCATTGAGACAGGTCACTTCTGTTTCCGGATACCACCAACCCCCAAAAAGAAGACACCCCAGAAAAGGTACAGGTTGTGCTACCAGAGGGACATAAGGATGGAAACCAGCTTTTATTGCCCTGATTGCCCCTCTCAGCCCGGCCTTTGTATTGGCAACTGTTTTAAAGTTTTTCACACCCAGGGAGAATAAGTTGCACATTGTTTATATATACACACATACACACACACACACACACACTTTTTTTTTGTTATTATTTAGTTCTTCCATCTTAAAGTTGCTGACAACTTTAGGGCCAAGGAGGCTGCTGCAATTCTTACATCTGACTGATTATTTCATTATTTTTATTTTTCTAATTTTAGTTAGTTAATTAGAGTGCGTGGTAATTCATAGGAAGTTGGGAAGTTTAGTGTTACGCTAGGGGTGAAAAGATAAAAAAAAAAAAAAATGTATAACATTATTTAAAGTTCTTGTGTGAAAGGTAAAAAATGCTTAGGAAGTTATGAATTCTATCAGCAGACAGAGTTGACAGGCAGTGCCCCAGAGTTTGATGCAGGTTAATACGGTGATTAATACCTTCTTTAAAAAAATGGTAGGCCTTTGTGGGGTAGTTTGAATTATCAGCCTGCTAAAATGCTCTAAAATTGCACATGGACCCAGCGTCAAAATTCAAAGTTTGAAAAAAACTGATACGGCTTAGTCTCCAAAGTGCCCCTTCAACATCCACATATCCCTGAAAAAGGTACACATGGGCGTATTGTTGTACTAAGACAACATAGCTGAGCAACATAATAGATGTTATACTGCCGTAGCACACATAAGGATATCAAAATATACAGTAACATCTCCAAGTGTGTGTCAAAACGGCAGAAAAAAATGCTAATTGCTACTAGACTTGGTACAAACTAGTAAAAAAAATGATCCTACGCTAGGGTTTAAAATATGCCATTTGAAATACCCTGGAGTGTCTACTTTTACAAATGGTAGGCCTTTGTGGGGATTTTTCGAACCGTCAAACTGCTATAATGGCCCAAATTGAAACATAGGCCCATCAAATCCGTCTCAAAATTCTACTGTAAATACCGAAATGGACAGGTCTCCTATATGGCATTGTAGCTTCACGAAATAGTGCCAAAGACATACAATGGGGGTATCATTTTACTCAGAAGACTTAGCTGAGCATAATTTTGGGGCTTTGATCATAGTGACACATATACAAAATGCCCAGCAAAAAGTAATGCAGTTGTAAAAAAAATGCCCAAAATTATATTTTACCACAAACTTTGACATACATTGGTGAAAAAACAGGGGCATGTAAAGGCACAATATGCGATATCCTAGAGTGTCTACTTTTACAAATGGTAGGCCTTTGTGATTTTTTTTTTCCAACAGTCAAACTTTATAGTGGCCCAAATTGAAACATAGGCCCATCAAATCCATCTTTTAAAATTCTACTGTAAATACCGAAATGGACAGGTCTCCTATATGGCGCTGTAGCTTCACAAAATAGTGCCAAAGACATACAATGGGGGTGTCATTTTAGAAGACTTAGCTGAGCATAATGTTGGGGCTTTGATCATGATGGCACATGTCAAATATACAAAATGCCCAGCAAAAAAGTAATGCGAATGTTAAAAATGCCCAAAAATATTTTTTACCACAAACTTTGACATACATTGATGAAAAAATGGGGGCATGTTAAGGCACAATATGCACCATATGAGATACCCTGGAGTGTCTACTTTTACAAATGGTAGGCCTTTGTGGGGTTTTTTCCAACAGTCAAACTGCTATAGTGGCCCAAATTGAAACATAGGCCCATCAAATCCGTCTCTCGAAATTCTACTGTAAATACCGAAATGGACAGGTCTCCTATATGGCGCTATAGCTTCACGAAATAGTGCAAAAGACATGCAATGGGGGTATCGTTGTACTCAACAGATGTAGCTGAACACAAAATTAGGTTTTGTACAGAATAGCACACACTAACTTTACAAAATACACAAAGAAGTTCTTTGTTATAATTTTGTGAGTCAAAAAACAAAAAAAACTAAATTTTAGTCCAATATTTAGCAGGGATTGGCGGTGAAATGGCTACGTAAAAAGTGTCAAAATAATATTAGTTAAATAGCCTGTGATATCTTCTTTATATAAATATATACTTTTGTGTGGCAATTTTGTTTTCTTTTATGGCTATTAAGCTTACAAGACAAACATACCAAATTCTAAAATCGCTCCACATTAAAAGTTTATTTTACTCCTTGTGTTTTGTGAGCTGTAACTACCAAAATAACTGAAAATCCTAGACACATTATATATTCTGTAAATCAGAATAACTAAATTAATTTATTTTTAATTACTTTCCTTAACCTGCACAAATTATGCACACATTATTATTGCAAAATCTGAAGAAAAAAAACAATATTTTTACATTTTGGGGCTTTTTTTTTATTGTTTATAATAAGTAAGCATTTATATATGTATATGTTACATCAATTTAAAGCCCTTTTTGTCCTTTAAAAAACGGTATATAATATGTGTCGGTGCAATAAAATAGTAAAATGCAAATTGCAGTTGAACGCAAACGGCAAAAAATTTGAAAATTTCTTGTGTCCTTAAGTGCAAGACAAGCTTTTGAAGCTGTGTCCTTAAGGGGTTAAGGGACCTTTGGTTTGTCAAGGAAACTTAACCTCTTCAGGACGGAGTCAATGGTACATGTTCTGATCAAAACAAAATGTAAACAAAACCTTGAATTTGCGCTATATATCTGTTCAACTGTAATTCACCTCTTTCATATTAAGTGCACCCACATTTATTATATATAATTTTGTTCAGGAGAAACAGGGCTTTAATGTCTCATGTGCTATTCATATATGAAACATAATTTATTATGAATAAAATTTAAAAAAACTTGAAATTAAGGTTTTTGTTTAATTTGTAGCTATAAATGTCATAATATTCTTAGCTTTTACTTCAATAAAATGCACATCTTTTTATTCAGCAAAGTCTCAGGAGTACAACAGTACCCCCCATTAACAGATTTTACGGTGTTTTGGAAAGTTACAGGGTCAAATATAGCACATTCCATTTTTTTATTTTTTCAACATTTACCAGATTAGTAATGTTACCTTTGAGATCGTGTGGTAGTCCAGGAATGAGAATTACCCCCATAATGGCATACCATATGCAAAAGTACACAACCCAAGGTATTGCAAGTGGGGTATGTCCAGTCTTTTTTAGTAGACACTTAGTCACAAACACTGGCCAAAGTTAGCGTTCATATTTGTTTTTGTGTGAAAAAAGCAAAAAACTAATATTTGGCCAGTGTTTGTGACTAAGTGGCTACTAAAAAAGACTGGACATACCCCACTTGCAATACCTTGGGTCCCCTACTTTTGCAAATGGTATGCCATCATGAGGGTAATTCTCATTCCTGGGCTACCACACAGTCTCAAAGGCAACATTACCAAACTGGCAAATTTCAATGTGAAAAAAATAAAATGCAAGCCTTATATTTGACTCTCTAACTTTCCAAAACACCATAAAATCTGCACATGGGGGATACTATTATACTTGGGAGACTTCACTGAACACAGACATAAGTGTTTCAAAACAGTAAAACATTACAACAATAATCATCAGTAAAAGTGCTGTTCGTGTGTGAAAAATGCAAAAAATGTTGATGTAACGGACCGCGGAGACGTTGTCCATCCGGAGGAAAATGTCGCAGTCTGATTTGTCCCTTGCCAGGCTGCAGATGGCAAAGGATCCTGCCAGGAGTTCTAGGCAGTTTATGTGCAGGTGGAGTTCCTGTGAAGTCCCGACGCCTCCTGTCGATATGCCTCTGCTCGTTGTTCCCCAGCACCAGAGGCTGGCGTCTGATTCCAATACGACGTCGGGCATGCTCCCGAATATGGCACATCTGTTCCACGCCTCCATGCTGTCTAGCCACCATCGGAGTTCCTCCTTGACTTCCTCCGTTATTGGGACCGATTGGTTGTAGGAAGGATTCTGGCGGAGGAAAGAGGATTTCAGACGTTGCATCGCCCTGTAGTGGAGCGGTCCTGGGAAAATGGCTTGTATGGATGCGGATAGGAGGCCCACTATCCGAGCCAGATTGCGGAATGGAATAGTATGGCAGCTTATGACCTTGCGAAGTTCTTTTCGTATGGCCGCGATCTTCGACGTTGGTTTAGTCCATCTCTAATCCCAAGAATTGTATCGTCTGGGCCGGAGAAATTGCTAACTTTGGGTAGTTTATTAAGAAACCCAGTGATGTCAGGAAATCCATGGTAAAATGAGTGTGTCGTGCCAGTCTGGACCTGTCTGAGCAGAATAGCAGGAGGTCGTCCAGGTAAATAATGAATCAAATTCCTCGTGCTCGAAGATGTGTAACCGCTGGCTTCAGTAATTTGGTGAAGCACCATCGGGCCGAGCTGAGGCCGAAAAGGAGGCAGGTGAACTGAAAGGAAGGCCCTGCCATCGGAATCTGAGGATCTGGCGGCAGGAGAGATCTAATCTTACATTCCTTTAGATCTAATCTTGTGAACCAGTCTCCGTCTTGAAGGAGGTCCCTTAATAGGTGAATGCCTTCCATTTTAAAGTGCCGGTACATCACGTACGCGTTCAGGCTTCTCAAGTTTATTACGGGACGGAAGTCCCCGGTCTTCTTTTTTACCAGGAATATATAGCTGAAGAAGCCCCCGGTTTCGTGAGCGGGTTCGATTGCACCCTTCGCGTGCAATTATCGCAATTCAAGATCGATGAGTTTGGTGTCCTCTTCAGAGCAGTTGATAGGTTGTGGTGGGTCCGTCTGACGTGGAGGGCCCACAAAGTCGATAACGTAACCGCTCACCGTCTGCAGAATCCATGCGCCTGTGGAGATGGTCGTCCATTCCTGAAAGAACAGAGCAATACGGCCTGCAGTGTGATGGGAAAGGAAAGTTTGAGTTAAGTGTCGGCTTACCTATAGGGAAGCGTGCTCTGCCACGACCACGTGGTTGCCTGTAGCCCACCTCTCGGTAGAAGGGTTGAGGCCAGCCCATCGGGTTGCTTCTGAAGACCTTTCTCATTGAGGTCTGAGCTTTATTCAGTAACATTCACGTGTCTGTTCAGGTCTTTTAGAAAAGCCTCTCCGAACAGTCTGCCCTGTGCCAATGGATCTAGCTCCTTGGTGCCCAATTCCACCAACTTTCCGTCTATGCAGAGTAGTGCTGCTTTGCGCCTCTCAGAGGAGAGCGCAACGTTAGTGTTCCCAACTAAGCAAAAACATCTTTGAGCCCATTTCCAAATATCATGTGCCCATTCGCGCACCATGCTGGCGTCAAACTGGTCGGCTCTAGTGAAGGCATCATTTTCCAAATACATGATGCAGGAGAGGGGTCCAGTGGAGTTCAACAGTTTGTCTTGGACCCCTCAGCACCCTTTTTCCACTCCTTTCGGGGGTTGCGACCTCCTCACGACATGAAGGTGGTCATGACCTGATCAAATTCCAGTGTTTGGGCAAAGTGATCGGGTAGGGAAGGGCGGGGACACTCGGACCGTAGACGGTTGCATACTGTCTTGTCTAACAGTTTGCGGAGCCACAGATGCATGAATTTAGCTAGGTGTTCCGGGGGTGTCCAGTCCCCTGAGCGTGGGTGGCGTATATTCCTTGGGTCGAACAGCCGTTGACCTGTTGGATCCAGAATGGTTTCCCCCTCGTCCTGAGCGGGTTCCAAGTCTTGGGTACCTTAGAGACCAGAGTGGGATCCCGAGTCTGAGCCCCAAGCGTCGTCTTGTGAGTCCAAGCTTATGGCTTGCCATTCGTCAAGCACAGCCATGGAGCGCGTGCAGTTGTCCTCCTCTTCCGAGTAGTAGTGGTGGTGGGGTGTAGGTGTGGTAGCCTGGGCTGCTCTGTGGCGCTTTGCCCTTGCCAGGGTAGTCTTGCCCATTTTCGCCTTTCCAGTGGCATTTGCCAGAAAGGGTTTCCTTCTTTGTGTGTGAGTCTGAAGCCTCAGAATCGGAGTCATAATGTTGGGCTTTAGATGATTTATTCAGATTGGCGTTAGCCGTCATGACTTTGGAGAATGCTTTCTCCTTAGAGACGTGGCGATGGCCTCATTAATCATAGCCTGGAAGTCCGGGTTTTTCTGGGAGGCTTCCATCATTTGATTAGGAGCAGGCTAGTAAATATATAATGGCACAGGGCGTGAGATGGGAGAGGTCAGAAGACTGTGCCTTAGTCACAATAATGGTACCAGCAGTACCAATAAAAACCCTGGCAGGCTATAGTAATAATAATAGAATAATCAGTACCAGCGGTACTCAAATACCCCAGCAGGGTGTAGAAAAATAAAGCATGTGGTACCAGCAGTACCAATTACCCCAGCAGTGTATAATATTGGGTTTTTTATTTACTGGGCCTCACCCAGACAGTGAGAGGTGACACAAGGTACACCTCTATCAGCAGCACAATGAAAGGGGTCCTCACCCCAGATGCACAGGAGAATTAGCCCTATAGTGCAGACTTACAGTATGTAGTTTAGTGAAACTGACCTGAATGACCTCTGTCCATGCAGATGGATGCGTGCAAGGAGCTGAGAAGGTGAGGACCGGGTGTGTACGAGGATTGTGCGTTCGTATGACTCCCAAGATGGCGGCCCTGATTCTTGTGAGAACCAAGATGGCCACCGTTGAAAGAGTAAGTGAGAACCGGCCGTGTCGGGCGCGGTTAAACACGGCGGTTATGCCGGTCCGGTGTGGAGGGGAAAGTGAGGGATCCCCGGTTGAGAGGAAAACTGATCCGTCGGTCATATACTAAAAGCCTGACCACGGGGAAAACATACAGAGGAGAGCCCTGAAATAGGGATAGTTCAGAGGGGAAGAGTCCCCTGAAGGAAAAACGTGAAAAGAAAATACATCAACAAAGCACACAATGTAAAAGAAGTAAGGTGTGATAAATCTATAAAAACAATCCGTAGAAACATATAATATAACAATAAATAATCAATATGAAGGGAAAAGCCAAAAACTCTGACCTGTCTGCTGATGGAGCTGCAAAGAAAGAGCGGGAGGAGCCTATTCACTGTGGATATTAAACTTCCTATTGCATTTTGATTGGTTATTGTTTTCACTTTGCTTTGCTGCTATGGAGTTAGTAAAGAGAGTTTAATGCAAAATAGGAAGCCTCCTGTCATGTGGTCAAATTTATCATTTTGAATCACTAATATTTCTGTTCAACGAAGTCTCCCGAGTAAAATAGTAACCCCCATGGTGTTAAATATAGTGCTTGCGAATTAAATTATTCTCTGCACTTTCTGCCTGGGTTGTCAGGCACGTCAATCAAATTTTAATTAATTAAATCACATAATTATGTTAAAAGATTACTTAAATATACACATAGAATTTAAATATATATTTATACATATATATGTATTTGAATTCTACATGTATACTTATGTAATCATTTCTGTAATTATATATATACATACATATGCAATTATGTCATTCTAAGTGTATTTTGTTACCAATATATATATTTATTAATAACAAAATATAGTTAGAATGAAAGATGTATATATCATATATAAATGTGTCTGTCGGGGTGTGTGTTTGTGTCTGTCATGGTATGTGTGTGTGTGTCTGTATGTCTGTGTTTGTATGACATTGTACCTGTATGTGTAGATTTTATTTGTAAGTGTGCCTGTATTTGTAAGATTTTTTTTTTTAAGGGGGGGGGGAGGCGGGCGACAAAATGCATCTTTGCCTGTGTAGCCAAAAATCCTTGCACTGGCCCTGGTCTTGATGGTAAAGTATATGTTTTTGCTGATGATACAAAGCTATGTAACAAGGTTGATGTTCCAGGAGGGATAAGTCAAATGACAAATGATTTCGGTAAACTAGAAAAATGGTCAGAGCTATGGCAGCTGACATTTCATGTGGATTGGTTCAAGATAATGCTTCTTGGACGTAAAAACCTAAGTAGAATATTTGATAGAGTCCTAATCTCAACATTTGAGAAAAGGGATTAAGGGGTAGTTATATCAGATAACTTAAGGTAGGCAGACAGTTTAATAGAGAAGCAGGAAATGCTAGCAGAATGCTTGGTTGTATAGGGAGAGGTATTAGCAATAGAAAGAGGGAAGTGTCCATGCCATTGTACAGAACACTGGTGAGACCTCACTTGGAGTATTGTATGCAGTACTGGATATTGTATCTCCAGAAGGGTATTGATACTTTGGAAAGAGTTCAGAGAAGGGCTACTAAACTGGTTCATGGATTACAGGATAAAAGTTACCATGAAAGGTTAAGGGAGCTTAATATGTATAGGTTGGAGAAAAGACGAGACAGGGGGATATGATAGGAAAAACTACCACAACAAAAGGACTGTCATGTATTCATCCGCTTATAAAAATGTGGTTAATGACATTTACTGTCCACACAGGAAAAGTTATGCCGAGCAGCAACCTAATCCACAGAAGGGTTAATGCTGAGCAGCAATTATGCAAATGAAGCCTGGTAACTGACTTTGGGGTCAAAGGCCGGTTACAGCCTATCAGATCTAGAGGAGGGGTATTTAGGCCCAGTTCTCATCCTGCTCAGTGCCCTGTCGTGGTTTCCCTTGTGGTTGTCCGAGAGCGCGTTCCTGTTTATAGTTTTCTACCTGGTTTTTGACTTTGGCTTTGTTTATTGACTTCTCTATATTCTGGTATCCTGACTCCTGGCTTTCCTCATCGCTGCATCCCTTTCTGTGTTCCCTGACCTCGGCTAATATTTTTGACTATTCTATGTACGTTAAATCCGGCCATTCTAATATGTTACTTATTTGTCATCCGTGCTATACAGTTCTACATGCTGGATCAAACAGTAATCCTGACAAGGACATAGTCTTAAATTAGAGGCCCAAAGGTTTAAAAATAATATCAGGAATTATTACTTTACTGAGAGGGTAGTGGACACATGGAATAGCCTTCCAGCTGAAGTGGTAGAAGTTAAAGGACCACTATGGGCACCCAGACCACTTCAGCTTAATGAAGTGGTCTGGGTGCCAGGTACATCTAGGATTAACCCTTTTTTCTATAATAGGGTTAATCCAGCCTCTAGTGGCTGTCTCATTGACAGCCGCTAGAGGCGCTTCCGCACTTCTCACTGTGATTTTCACAGTGAGAAGACGCCAGCATCCACATGAAAGCATTGTGAATGCTTTCCTATGGACTGGCTGAATGCGCGTGCGGCTCCTGCCGTGCATGCGCATTCAGCCGAGGCGGCAGGGAGGAGGAGGAGAGTTCCCCACCCGGCGCTGGAGAAAGAGGTAAGTTTATCCCCTTCCACCCCCTAGAGCTCGGCGAGAGGGGGCCCTGAGGGTGGGGGCACCCTCAGGGCACTATAGTCCCAGGAAAACAAGTATGTCATTTCACACAGTGAAGTTGTTTAAGCATGCGTGGGATAGGCATAAGGCTATCCTAGCTCTAAGATAAGGCCAGGGACTAATGAGAGTATTTAGAAAATTGGGCAAACTAGATGGGCCAAATGGTTCTTATCACATTATATGTTTCTATATTTCAGCTATGTAACTATGTAACTTGGCATGTGTTTAAGATTGTTACAAAAGTAGTTAGAGAAGCGCTGAAAGAAAGAATATTAATTTAGGTTAGCCTAGAGGTTTAATTGTGTCCAGTGAAACAAGGTATATGCAAGTTTCCAGCAGGATATTAAAATAACATATACTACACAATTACATATTAACTGCTAGTCTTTATATTAATCTTTACTAGAAACAGGTCAGAGAACTTCAGAAGGTTAGAAACAGGACTATTCTTGGTTAGGGACTCTCAGTAATAAAACAGTGAAAGCAGGATAGGAATGTGGTTGTTTATAATTAAGTTAGGAACAGCCTTGAGAAAAGCTACTTAGTAGAAAATATTAGTTCAACATAAGAATAATCCTTGTGTTGTCCTTATAGCATAAATTAATAAATGGTGTACAATAGATTTGCCTTACTCATATACTTATATTAACCCTTATAGCATGTCCAATAAAAAAAACTTTGAATGTTTGTATTTCAGATTGCTGCTTTTTATGATGACAATAGGCCAGTTTTGAAGGAATGGCTGGACAGCATGGCCTTGGTACCTATTCGCCTAGTCCAAGCGAGGGATTTGTCCTCCTCATTCTCTCAAGCTACTGTGCAGATAAAATTCACCACACAAACTGTGAGAACTGTATACAGATGCCTACAGAGGATAAATGCACTTATGCTGCAGATGCTGTCTGTTGCTGTAAAGTGCTCCCTTATCCTTTGGCGGCATAAGATGGAATTTGCACTCTTTTTCTTTGGCCAAAATATCCATGGACTCACATGACAAAAGCATAGAAGATCGTGCTACAGTAATCACTAGAAAGGAATAGAAAATATCATATTTAGAATTATTGAAAACAAAGTTGTCTCATATAACAGTGGTTGCATTACAAAGGTTTACTTTGTAATTTTTTGTTTTTGTCCACTGAGGCCCACTGTATTTAAATAGGATGTTAAAGAGTTTTTTGAAAAATCATTAAAGGCTGAACTTGATAGACACATGTCTCTTTTCAACTAAACTGGATCCCTGCCTCCGGCCGAAGGGCCTCTATAGCCATTGACGCACTTCATACTCTTTGGCTAAAAGTGTCAGCAGTGTACTCCCATCCAACTAATGGCTGTATGTGCATAGAAATATGCACAGAAATGAGAACAGGCAGCACAGATCTCTTTTTGATGACCCAATTTCTTTTTCATGACCACTGGTGTTAAAGTCTTTAAAATTAGTATGTGTTCTATTTTATGGTGAAATGTTGCATGTTAAAAAAATTATCTTTCCTGAGTTCTTGCAGACATATGTTGTTCATGCCAGTCATTTAATGCTTTTAGACAACAATTGAAGATTATATTAGCTTTAGTGTACTAATAATCTTAATTTTAGTAATGACAGGAGGCGAATATTTGCATATCTTTCTTTACTGAAAACTCCAGCAGCATAGAAACAGTAACAATCAGAGAAAAGATATGGTGCCCATAAAAGGCCCTGTCTATGCAATCACTTCCTCTTTCTTTGCTGCTCCAGCCATCAACAGGTCAGAGTAATTTTTCCTCTCTGGTTTTTGTACCTGTAGTTACCTTATTATTGTATTTTATTGTGTTTCTTATTTTACTCCCTGTCTACCTATACCTGTCCCCTCCTGTTTCCCTTACTCAGTATTGCCCCTGTCTACTTTTGTGCTTCTGAGTCTTTTGGCCCTTGCGGGCCAGCTCACTACAAAGGATACAGATGCATTCCTTCAGGACTGGCCCTCCCACGGGGCCTACGCTTTCCCTCCATTCTCATTGATCCCACGGGTATTGCGATATACCCGCACTCACAGGATATCGCTCCTGCTCATAACACCACTTTGGCAGAGCCAACCGTGGTTTCCGGACCTCCTGGAGATGTCCCACGACCATCCCATCCGGCTCCCCACCTACCCATTGCTCCTGTCGGGACCTCGAGGGGAACTCCATCCCCTCGTCCTGGAAGGACAACTGGAACTGGTGGCCTGGACGATTTCAGGGGCTCCTGGTCAGTCCACGGCCTATTGCAATCTACTAAAGACCTCCTGTGGGACTCATGGGCTCCTGGCACCAGGAGATGTTACATATCCGCCTGGTCAGCCTGGAGTGATTGGTGCATGGAAAGGGATTCCGATCCCTTTACTGCCTCTGTCCCACTGATCCTCAACTATCTCGCTCATCTGTTCTCGACGGGTCGATCATATAGATCCCTTAACGTGATCAGATCGGCTATTTCA